AGATACGATATCGACCTATTTTAGCTTTTGATATGTTTAAATACTGTCTGTAGTTTACGCGTGTAGTAGCTCTTTAAAATAAAACAATTAAACGGTTTAAAACGCGATATTTACTAGTTAAACTTATTTTTAAATATGGCCCGACGTTTCGAATGTTTTGCAGCAGCCGTGGTCATGCGGTCACGTGACCAAGCAAAAGCAAGCAAAGTTATAAACCGTTAAAGGGTTATTTTGATATATTTCCCTAAATTTCGTTTGTGGCAATAATTTTAAACTTTCCAAATCGACAAAATAGACGCTCGTAGATTTAAACGGGCGATTTTTAGTTTTACGGTCATGTTTGCGAATGGTATACACGTCTGTCGCTTCATTTCAATTGATAGAAATGGGTGGATGCGAAATTGAAATGTAAAGATGAAAAACGCAAATTCTCGCCAATATTTTCCACTTGAATCAACTAACGTGGACATAAAAGCGTTGGTTTGCTTTTTAGTTTGAAATTTGACTAGAAAATAAATTGGCTCATGCAATTTGCCACCAACGAAGATACACAGAATATATTTATCGTAAAATACTCGTATAGATTAAAAATCTAATTGATTGAAAACATGTACAACATGGGCGGGACTTGAACCCGTATTCACAGCGTTCCGTGCTGCTGCTCTAACCAAATAAGCTAGCATGTATCATATATTATATTAGTGTATTACAATATATTTCATTTTAATATTTAAATCTTTAAATATGTAATAATATAATTTTACAGTTTTCAAATATCAGTTTGGACAAATACAATTGCATTGCAACAGATCTCTTTTATATAAATATAAAAAAATACAGTTCAACCAACTACATATAATTTTTTTTTTAACTACGGCCAGACGTATACGATCTTTTACAACAGGTAGTCACTTGCGTTATAATTGTGAAGCGTGACAAAAACATTACTTTTCCTTTCAGCTTTGCCGCTGTCGGTAAAATGGGCTAGGAGAAGACTCGACGGTATTTAGTAAGTGTGAATAGCAACGAGGTGTGAGTATCGTAATGACCTATTATTTTCCGGAGCTCATTATGGAGGCTAGGGGAACTCTCGTGCGCCGGATTTGGCCTATATATAAGCGGACAGCTCAGCGTTATTGTTCCATACATTAACTTTCATCTTTTTGTCAGATAAATACAAAGGCGGACTATTAGGCACTGGTAAGGAAATTTTAAATAATGTTTACATAGTATAAGAATAAAGCAGTTAGTTTTAACACACCTAAGTATACTAATATATAACGCTGTAAAGCTTGTTTGTTTGTTGGAACGTGCTAATCTCAAGAACTATTGGTGGAGTTCCCACCAGTAGTTCTTGAGATTTGAAACACATTTGTGTTGGTTAGAGCATATATATAGAGAAAACGGGTTATTTTATTCATCGTTGTTGGTCTCCGTTGCATACGCATGTTTCAAGATTCCCAAAAATATGTATGAAAGAATGATTCCTCTTTCAAAAAATTAAAAAAATGTTAGCGTCACTATATCTCTTTCATCTATCTTTTAAGATATTCTTGCAAGAACGACGGGACGCGACCTACGTCGTGGGCAACAGCTTAAATCTATAAAGATGAAGAAGAGTTTTGGAAATTTGGATGCCCAAAGTTACTATTCTACGCAGACAAAGTCGCCGACACAGCTAGCAAAATAATATACAGAAATATTGCAGAGTCTTGACCACAAGTGGGCCTGGAACCTAGCGGTTCAAAATTAGTTCTTTATAATTTAAAAAGGCATACTTGTAAAGGTTTTACTTATTTAAGTATGACAAATCAGTAAAATTTGAAAACTTGAATTTTTCACATGTTTTGCACATGAAGGCACCAACCATATAATTTAAAAATTGAAAATAATTTAAACGGAACGCTGACGATGCCGGTTCAAGTCCTCCCCGAGTCGAAAATTTTTTCAATTTATTTTCGATTTTTAAATCAGTAAAAATTTACGGATCGTTTACGATGACTACTTTTGAATTTTAATAGATTTGTCTAACAAAGCCTAGCGCTATATTAGGTTTTTTATATAGATTACGATGGGCTTGTCAAAAATGATCATGAAATAAATGTAATTATAATATCCTCCACAGAATGTGTGTTTTGAATGAGCATATATTCAGCTGAAATAATGATTTACGAAAAAAGTAATACGCACAAACTGCGCTCTAGAGAGTTTCTGTTACATATCCATTGTTGACGCATATGTTATAATGCGTCAAAAACAGGTTCGCATTTTTATATCAGCATTGGTGTATTGTACATTTTTTATAATATTGGAGGATAGACAGGCTTGGGGTTCACATGATGGAGGATGAAATATCCCAGCCATATAACATCTAAACAATGTGTTGTCGGCCTATTTTGGCTTTACATATTCGGAATTTCACATACCCTAACCGAATCGCGCTTAAACCTCTCGACTTTTTCATCTGTGGTCGGTGGTTCGTGACCCGGACGGAGTTTTGATATTCCATTTAATTAGATATTAAATGGAATATCAAAATTTCCAGACGAAGTCCAACATATTTTAAAGAAAATATAAAGTAATGAGGAAAACCTTTTGACCAGGTGGAACGTTGGTGATTGGAGCCATGTATTTCTACCATTATATCAACGAGTCCATTGTATATCATCATCGCCATCAGCATTGTCATCAAGATCTTGGCCAACACCGTCATCATCATTATGACGTTTCAAATTAACTACTATGTGAAATGAATGTGCCTTGCATATAAAAAATTCTTAGACATGTAACTCAAATTTTAGCATAAATTATAACATTATATTTGTCGTAGCGAAATGTATAATTTCCAATTTATCTATATTATGTTATATTATTCAAACGTCAAAATAGAAAAGAACGGACAAACGTTTCCATTTATGTAAGATTTTTATTCTTTTCATTATTTATCTGTGCCACTGTCATACTCCAGCGTTGGTGGCAATAACCAAAATTACTGCCTGGACGCAAATGTATTCGTCAACAGTCGTATTACCTAGGGAGTTTGTCAAATAAGCAAGCATTTGTGGAGTGTTGGAGTTTTAATCGCATTGTCAGTTTGTGGTTTTAACACGTAACTTGCCACTTTGCATTTGGACTTTGTTTTTTGAAAAATTTTGTTAGTAGCACCAGAAAATTTACAAAAAAGGTAGATCTGATGTAATACTATTTATAATCAACGGTTTCAGAAATCCAAATGTCCAAACTCAAGATAAGAAGACCCCAAAATAATGATAGTGGTAAAATTCATCTTACAATAATAAGAATGATACAAGATTAGAATAAAAGACGTGATAATTCAAACGACTTATTTAATTTATTTTAATCAATATACGTATGAACTTACAAAATATATTTAAGTTTGTAGACTGAACATTTTGGCACACATTGAGCTGTTGGTACAAATTAATTGTGTTTGGAATCGATTAATTAATTAAATTATCTAATACACATCATGATCTATAAGTATTTTATTAATTGTGGTCAATTTTAATTCACAAAACGTACTTAGACATAGACCTATCTAAAGGGGCATTTACACTATATCGCTTTGTCTGTTATAAACATTCTAAGACTTTAAAATGTTTTTGAATGACTTTGTATAGAACTACGGTCGCACAAGAAATAAATATAATGTATTTAAATAAAAAACTGACGTGTCTGATAGTGACCTTCAGTTTTTGATATAGATTTAATTTAAACTAAATACACAGCAATACTTTTAAACGTACAACGATCATATTATTACTGTAAGTACGAACCGTTTCGGAGAAAACGTTTAGTTTGTTCATTGGTGGCACTAGTGATGATAGAACTCAATTCTAATGAAAATTAAGCTCTATACATTGTATTAATGTTGTCTAATGATTGAACACCGAGCAGTGAGCCAAGTACCCACAGAGCCCTCTAATTGGCAACCAAAGTTATGTACTAATTTGGGATAATTGTAGACAATCCGATATAGTGCAAACTAGCTTTGGACATGCCGATCGCATACCCTCTTAATTATAATTTAACTATACCGTAAATGCTTTATCTTCCTCCGAGTAATAAGAAACGGTTTCGTATTTTATCTGTCATGAAATATTTACAGCAGTCGTCTATGGAAGATGAAATCGATATTTACAAACTTGTCTTCTAGTTTTTGGCGTTGTTTTGGCACAATCAAATCGTTGGCAAGTCCAGTAGAACTATTCTTATTATTTAAATATTACTTCACAACAATTTTTATTGTATCTTACGCGATCGATATGAGTTATAATTATTGTTATGTACATAATATTCATCTTGTGTTTCTTTTTTTAAACACAAAAGTATCTTTAGAAACATGCGAACTTTTGTATTCAATTATCAGGAATGTTGAAATTGGAAAGAACTAATAACTTAAAACGTGTAACGATTTTTATATACATAGTGTCGGTAATAAATGACTTTAATTTAGTAGAATTTAATAAATATAATTACTGATACGTGTAAATGACTTTCCAACTCCTAAAGATGTTCATACGGCTCTACATATCAGAAATTTATTATATGTAATCAATTCTAACGTTATCGGCGTTATAGCAAAAGTGTCCGAGTGCATTCGATCAAACACTTGTTTTAGTAAACTTTCTATACATTTGAAGACAAAATAAGTTCGAACATCAATAGACGCAGACAGTGCATCTCTCAGCGATTATGGCGACAGATTGCTAGATTACACGTGAATAGTTGCGCTGTGCGTAAAGCTACATCACTCTAAGGCTGCGTATACACGCGCGTTTCACACGTAGTTAGAACACACGCAAAGCTACGTATTTTTGACTTCAAGAGTATACACTCGCTTTGAACGATTGAAACATAAGAACGCGCTGTTTATATGCTGCCAAAGAGAGGATTCGTTTATCAAGGTCTACACCTTAAGATGTTTACACACAATGTGCCTACACGTCGCTCGGGGGCGAGGAGGCACGGTCCGGCCGCTAGTGCAGCTGGCTCTTAGTACTGAATCCATAGTGCAAGTAGGGGGAATCTGCACCTTCACGTGGCCCGCTACCCCCACCACTTCCCCCACTCGGGCACTTCAAAGCAGACCGCAGTTCGGACGCCATCTCTGAGCACAGTGACGCCTGAGCGAATAAAGCATTGGTAGAAATTGCTATACGTTTTAGGAAAGTATTAGCTTTAAAAAAAGTTTACCTCCTCCTTCTGTTTGGTTAGCATTAAAGGAAAATAAACATTATTTATCGGCTGGTCTAAAAATAGTCGTCTAGCATATTTACTGCGTGGGAAGGAATAATTTATGATACTTTTTCATACGGTTGAAGACCCGAAGAAAATATTTACGTAGATATATCGTATATTTCGAAATACATATAATAATACTTTTTCGTAAATCCACCTACTTAACTTAAGTATCAATTTCATAGTATTAAATAATAAATCGAATCCAATAATGTGATAAAATAACTAGCCTACGAAATTAACTACAGCGTGTATAAATATACCTATTTTTAAATTATCTAGCTTTATCAACTATTGTTCCATAACTAAAACACACTTTTACGTACTTCTTACGTTGCTTAAAAGTAAATCTAAAACAAAAAAGAAACCAAAATTCAATTTTTTAAAACAAATATTTATCCAAACATGTGTGATATTTATTTTAAAGATTGGCAAACAATATGATATGGTCGGTTCGGGAACCTGTGACTAACAGCGTAATGTGCTGTTGATATCAACTCTAAACTATTCAAAGAGAGATTAAACAAAAGACGATCATATAAAGAAAATAGTATTACAAGGAATAGCTTACTCTTTCATCGACCGCTACTTTTCGCGACTTCCAGACAAACTCACAGACGGCAATTACACACGCTACGCCCATTCCGCCCATGAGCACAACAAATACTCCACCGACGTTAGCCAAGCCCAACTCATTAGCTGTTGATGATGATTTTGATGTTTCATCCTGTTAAAAAACGTAATCGTCATCAGCCATGAATATGGGACCTAGACCTGGGATCATATAATATGGGAAGCATACCATCTTGACCAAAGACATGTTAATAAAAGATTATAATTTTAATGCATTAATATTTATAACAGTTTCTAACCGCGAAAAGAAGTCAATGTGCATTTATTGACTTCTTTTCGCGGTCAGTCAATTTGCATTCATTGTGCACAAGACCAATCTGGCTCTTAATAAAACATAGTAGATAAAAGAGACGAGAATTGTTCCTGTGTCTATATTGCCTTTGCTTTCGTTACTTAAAAGTATCACAGATAACTAGAATCGGGACTTCCAAACAGTATTTGCATCCAAAAATGGCATACAAAGACAACGTCCGCGAAATTGCACGATAATGCAACTACGCGGAGCCGCTTTAAAATTTTGCAATTTAGATCATCATTTCTCAGTCGTTTGGGTTCATACTCATTAAAATTTAAACCGTATTTTTGGCGTTTGAAAACTAAAAGGTTTTTGTAGGCCAAGTAAACAAGCCGCAAAATGAACGTACTCGGCATGAGCCGCCTCCACGCTTCTCTTTCCACCACTTTGTCTTCAATATGTGCAGTTTCCCTTCTTCTTGCAGCTTTAAAACAGCACCACTTATAGCGGTACGGTATGGTGAATCTACAAAGTGAAAAGCTTTTATTTAATGACCGTAATTAGCTCTAGCATTCAGTTTAACTTTATTCTGAAATTTACATATGAATCATTTGATAGGCATATTACAGCACCCGCCAAACCAAGGGATATAAACAAGGGAATGATTCAGCGCAGAATCATAGAAGAGACAAACCAAAGATGGAAATCTTCGACTGGCATGAGACAGTCGAAAATGTTCATACATAGCCTAGATAAAAAGACGACCAAAAACCTGATGAGACTAACGAGAGCGAATATCCGACTGATCGTAGAAATCATAACAGGACATTGCCGTCTAAACAGACATCTTACAATGATATGAATAGGTAGCGGTCCCCTAGGCTCGGACGAAGTTACAGAAGAAAGAACGGGGAGAGTTGGATGACCCAAAACCTCTGCAAGGAGGAAATGGGGAAATGGGTGAAATGGTCAGCGAATAACGTGGACTGATCACCCATCCTGCCAAGGGTATACCCGATAGAAAATAATATAATAATACAGCACCCGCTTAACCGTTTATCATTTTCGTTCTGGTAAAAAAAAATATTGCGACCATTCAGTTAAATATAATATCTATACGCATTTACAATAAAATTAATTTCATAAAAGTGAAGCTGGGCTTAATCTATTAAAATAAGAAAGAGAAGCCCAGATTTATACAAAAACCATCAAAGAACAATTCCCAAAAAACTGATCGAGACTGAAATCAGTATTTCACTTATAATTATTTTCCGTAATGAATTTAGTTTACGAGTTTTTTGTTCAAAAAATAAGCGAAAGCTAGCTAGCTAGCAATTTATGTCAATTCATTCAATTAATGATTAGTAGTTTATTTTATAAATTTGTGACTAATGTTGATCAAAACTAAATATTAAGCCTTTTTGTCATTCGAAGGTTTACTTAGAACAGAATAATCGGCTTCGGTTTCGACGGAAAATCGATCTTCGGTCGAACACTAGATGTAAGGTTTGAAGTTAACATATAATTACGTTCATATTTACTTTTGGCAAATTAACATCACAAAGGAAGCAACCCAACGTAATTAAATCGACGAGCTATGAATATGAAATTAATATTGACGCACATAAGTCGGTCTTATCGTCTGCCGATCCTTCATCCAATACTCATTAATTTTGCGAAATGACAAGCTCTGATTCAGCGATGAATTTGATTTACTCCAAGTTGTGTAACTGATTTTGAAACTTTAACTATTAGATTTATACTCTAGGATAGGGTGGAATAGTGCTGTGAGACACGTAGTGGAAATCTCGTATTGTTTACATTATGTGCTTGATTATTTCTTTGCAACCTATCTAACCAGAACTTTTTATCATTTCAGTAAAGAAACTTAAAAAATCAGTAAGTACCTAACAAAACTTTTAATTTATTATGACTCACTTGGGGGCATAGCTATTCCATATCCCTTAGAATCCAGCATTCCACCAACTTGTGTCAAATCGCAGTTTCTCTCAACAACATATTCAATCGTAGTCGACTCCATAAGATACGCATATGCTCCCTTTCCTCTCATAACTCTTTCTTCACCCTCCTTATTGCTGCTCGTAAACACCGAGGGTCTGGCCGATTCCATAAATGACCACATTCTTTGGTACGTTGAGAAGTTTGAGTCCTATGCCGAAATTAATGTGTAAATTACAGACGATACGAAATTAAATACCGTGCTGTAAAAAATAGTTTAAACCTACAAGTATAATATGAGTATGTACAATAAAGAAAGAGAAACAAAATCAATATATTCACTTGGGTTTCAACGCATTTGAAAAACAAAAGTTTTAAAAGATAGAAATTATAACAATAGATAAGAATAATAATAGATTTAAAAGATTTAAATGATGTATTTGTACCACATTGAACAAGGAGTAAGCACAATTTTACTTCTGGTATATGTTTATTACATATAGAACCTTAGAGACTATATGTATTACTTTTATATTTATACTTACACGGAAAAAGGCCGCTGTAGATCCACCTTTCAAAGCACCATACTTAATTTTAGTTTGTTTCGCTAGATCTTCAGCACTTTCGATCGGAGAGTCCATTCGCTCAACGGTTAGAAAAGCGGCTAAGTTTGCAGTGTATGATGATATCATAATTAACGTAAAGAACCACCACATCCCTGCTACCATCCGTGTTGATACGGCTCTGGTATGATCAGAAAGAAATGTTAATTTTGAGTTGTTTTTTTGCCAAACGTCCATTAAAAAAATCTTAGAGTAAAGTCTTTGTTTACAATATTTATTAAGTAAATATGATTTATCACACACAAACTATGAAATGTCTGCTTAAATATTCATATAGTTAATTACACAAATCAAATGTACCATAATAATGACGGTTGATACCGATTACCTATTCTTCTATTTATTATATTTCAAACAGTTAGTTTGTGTAGTACAGTAAGCTACATATTAAATTGTTATAACATATGAATAAAACGGCAATATAGAGCTTTGAAATTGCTTTAAGTCGAGATCTATATTATCACACCATAAACAATCAATAAGAAAACACAAATACATTTCAATAATGTTGATGCAGCAAGCTATGGATACTACAGAAGCCCTGGTGCTAAGAATTCCAATTCTCCGCTCAAAATCAATTAGCAACTAAATTACACAACTCAAACTATCTAGCGAAAACCTGAGCTAGTTGAAATCGCCAACACATCTCTATTTAAATCGGTCACTAAGACCACCGAAGCTTGAAATTCACAAAGGGCTGTGGTCGCTTTGTAACTAATTACTTAACGAACTTCTTCTAACAATAAATCAAATTGCCAGCTCATAAAATTTTCAATCCCTTGTGAATTCAAGTTTGGCTCGTACACTCTGGCAATGACTTTTCGATGGGAACTTACTTCGGTGCGATATCCGAACCTTGCTGCATCAAAGATCCAATGGTGAACCATAGCGAGTTCAACAGTGTGAACTGATTCTCCAACACCGGCGGCTCGTCAACACAGTTCCGGGGACTGTCCCACTCGTACGGGCTGAACCTGCGCCCAAATACACCCAGTCATTTGCTGACTTTACTATCCCAGTTTAATTTAGGGACAGTCGACCTTCAGTAATGGGAGAAGCAGGTAAAAGCAGATTTCGATAATTTTACTTCTGATTAGAAATAAGTATAAAAATCTCATTGTTGTAAGGAATTCCTATATATGTATTCATAGCAATTTTATTGCTAACAAAAATTTTGACAAATATGATTATTTAAGTCTATCTGCTTAAATATCTTTTGAGTCTAAATTTAGATCAATAATTGAATTTAGAGAATTCGAATTTCTTCCCCGATACAAGTGGTACGTTGCAAGCTTCGGTATTAATAACACCTGTGAACTTCGCTGTGGTCACCATAATATTAGAAACAAACTTGCTTCAACACGTTTGCCTCCAATATCCGATAAATCCTCGTTTTGCAATGCAAATCTTACTTGGGCAAAAAGTCACAGCTCTGTTGCATGAGCGATCCGATCGCAAACCATAAACAATTTGCTAGTGAAAATATATTCTCCATTTTTTCGCCGTCTGCCGTGCGAGATTGGTGCCATTCGTACGGGGTAAACCTAATGGATTGTTCAAAACACAACAGAACAGAAATTTTACTAAAAATATTGTATATTTTTCCAGGAGATTTTATCACGATAAAATTACTTTAACGTAAATATCTTAAACTTTTATAAAATTATCCTCTACTATAACAATAAAATGAATATTGAGTCGTATTAAATATAGCTACATTTATATCTTATATTGTCTTTAATTCTGAACATAATAATCTTTTCGATTTAAACACAATTATTTTTCTCATTCTCATAATAAATAGTTTACAAGAAGTAATTGCTACTGAATTTGACAATTATTTAGTAAAAATAAAACAAATGAAAGCAGAAATATTGCGAATGATTTCTTACCTTGCCAGTATAAAGAGGAGAACGGAGACTCCTAAATACGCAGTAGCCATGTATATCCAGACGTCTAGTGATAGTGGCGATAGGAAGGAAAAGAGGTTCGGTGGCTGCTTTATCGGCTTGCGGTACAGGACCGATATTCCGAGGTTCATGAAGGGCATCGTGAAGTCTACTACTTGCTCTCTAGTGTAAAAAATACATTACTTTGGATTTACACTAGTTTTTTTTTATTAACGTTAACGCACATTTGTTTTGTATGCTTGGAAATATTGCAAAACCAATGTATGAACAACATTTTATTGACCGTGCTACTACTACGTTTTTTGAAGTTTTAAATAATTAGAATTATTTAAGAGGAATGTATAATACAAGTATAATAATTTAGAGAAACTGGTGTCTAATGTGCTGTCGTAAATTAACACATTTCGTTGCGCTTACTTTGCATACGCTGGCTGAACCTCACCAGATAAATCAAAATAATGTAAGAGAATATTGTATATGTGTAGAGTACACCTTAAAAAGATTAGCAAAAAAAATTAAGGTGGCATCTTTTAGGGATATCTCACAATAACCATCTTTATCTTTATCCAAATTTGTACGTAAAATACATTTTCCATTTAATATAGATTATTATGTCTCTTTACCGTACAGTTACGAATTGCGAACAATGCGTCTTGAGAACACGAAAAAAGAACATGTGTAATTTGAAAAAATAAAAGTTTGAGCATATCAGACATGTGCATTAGCGCGTAGCCTGAAGCAGTTTAATTAAAGAACATCGTGCCAAACGAAACGTGATGACGAAATATTCAAAGAGTTTGTTTCAACTGAAGACGGTGTATGGAGATATGACGTTGAAAGTTCATCTTTTCATATGTTCTATTAAAATTCGCTTCTTAAGTAAATCTGGAATTTTCTACAATGTCACTGAAAGAAATTTCATTTAAAACGCTCCAGCGTTGCGAAAACGACGTATGAATTCGAAATGTATTTTATTTCTTATGCCTAGGAGATAAATAAAACAGATGTAAGATTTTATTATTAATGTTATAGCTTGGGAACCTATTATCATCTGAGACAGCGTACCTTTTCATATTATATGTCTTATAAGTATGTAAAAGGTTTTTATATTAATAAAAGGTTTATCTACGGATTGTTTCTTACATACATATTACCTACTATGAATCTGTGGGGCATGGGGCGAACAATATTTCTATATCCTATATATAATCTAATCTAAAACGTCAAGGCTAAACGACGAACATATTGCTGTGTCCGTTTCAGACTTCTGTGCATTGCCGAAACAATCTATTATTTCTCTGGAATTTGAACCCAGAACCCCTCGCACTCATTACTAGACAACGCGTTCAACTATTTAGCTACAAAGGCGGTCGACGCGTTGCCTAACTGTAACTCGAATCAAATCTTACCTGTCGTACGTTATAGTGAGATCGGCAATCGCCAAATCGGCTCGTTGTTCCAACAGTTCCCGTATCATCCCATCCCACTCCTTGGTCTCCCGGTTATGTGACCCGTATCGACCGTCAGGGGCGAGTTTGAATGTGTAATTGAAGCCGAGAACTTTGGATATCTCGTGAATAAGATCGATGGCGTACCCTTCGAACTGCGCGTTGCCGGTCAGTTTTTCGCTCGCTTCCTTCCTCATGCAGTATGGAGCGCTCTAAGAATTTAAGTACTTACTCGTATACATTGAGATTATTTTATATAAAAAACATTTGACACAGCCGGAGATGAACCCACGACTACGGGACCTAAATATTCTAATGATAGATTACTTTTTCTAAACTAAACGTATTGAGTAATTTTACGACGTCAACGGTGCTTAAACGGTAAAACATTCAAAAAAATCAATATTAACAATTTAAAATGCGAAGTAAGAATAATATACAACTCAACGTTGTTTTGTACTAAATACATCAATTCCACAGTTCACATTTGTACTACTCGCGTGAATTAGTAATACTTGAAAACAATGGCTGGCTCGGCTGTTGGCCGTAGGTTCCGATTCCGCCTATGTTATTAGTTTTTCGAGTAGGTAAAATAATTACTTATATAAGCTGTAATGTAGATAACATACGTAAATTATAAAGATTCTAATGTAAATCTTGTAGCATATCCTATGTCTTTAAATATTGTTTTTCTTAAAATAACCGCATCAAGCGTTAAGTAACAGCAACCCTTATAAAAATATAAAAAGCCGCAAAGCTCATAGGCACAACTAAAGTTTCATTTAGTAGAAACAATTATGTAACCACATTTAGCTGAAATTCGTGGAGCGTTAGCAGCCCTAATTTCACTTCCGCGCGACACAGGGGCACAATAAAAGGTTCCAGTAAATTAGCCGACAGTAAAAATGTTCCTTACCAGAATTGTAGTCACTACAAGCGTTTTGTTCTGTAAAATTTCTACGATCTGTTTCTGGTTATCTCCGTAAGACCTCGTATAGTTTACACCTTCTGATGAGTTCCACACGCCGGCCCTTTGTAGGCCATCTCGGGTGAGCTCTATTATGTCAAGGGTAAAGTCACTGCGAAAACCTTGATGGTCGAACTTTATAACTCCGGTCAAACCTTTCATTTCCACCTGTTTGTCAAAAAATACAAATACTAAATAATATTTACAGTTTTAGAATTCCAAATTTAAATGTAGCACAGTTGTCGATATAAGGCATAAATATCTATCAATTTTGTAACATTGTATATTATTTTAACAGGTGTTTATAATAAAACATATCGCGTTCGGTTTTAGCATGTTTTTTAAATGTATTTATGGTTGTGTGTATAAGTCACGCATTAAATAAAATAAATCTGATTGTTTAAATAAAACACTTCAACGGGAAGATTGACCTGACTGACTGACTGGTGTCTCCCCGGCTGCTGCAAAGCATCCGAAACGTCGGGCCGAAGTTAAAAATCATTTTTAAATAAGTTTACCAAAATGTCGCGTTTTAAACCGTTAAAGTGTTTTATTTAAATGTGTACTACTCGCGTAAACTATAGACAGTATCAAATCTGGTTGTCTCTTTTTTATCCTTAATTTCCGCGGCTTTATTCGTTTGATTATTAAAAATAAGCTTATAAGACCGCCCGTATAATAGATTTGTTAGTTTTATTGTAACAGGAATATTGAAACAACAAACGAAGAAATACTTGCACTTATAATATTAGTGTCAATTAAAATTAATTTATATCAATCGGTTTCATTTAGAGTTCAATGTCAAAATATACCTCTTTAATTTAGTCTTTAGAGCTTAAAAAATGGTCTACGATGAAATTCAAAGTCAAGTGTCGGATAATGTAAATAGAAAATCGGAGTTGGCTGAAATACACGGCTCGTTTCATTATACGTTCTCGGTTAAAATTTTTGTAAAGAGCAATTTGCGGATTCAGCGCACTTGCACTTGAGGTTTTGCGATGCATTTATTTCCTTTCGTTTAACTGAAAAATGTCTTTTGAACGGAGCTTAGAACATAATATTTACAATACATTTTATTTTGATGTTGTAAATTGCGCAGTGTTATTTATACATTTTGACTTATACTTTCTGAAGGTTTTAAATAAAACTTAGACGTTATTTCTTGGAACTTCAACAAATTTTCAACCTATATATTATGCCACTATAGCTTGGCCCATCACGTTTAGTGTAGAGTGGATGAATGGATTTTACCGACTTATTGATAATGATAACCTGGGCCATTGTTTTAACATGCTGTGTCTCAGAGTACATTTAAAAAGCGGGTACTAGGATATTTCCAAAAAAAATTCAGGCACAGGATAAACATCGCTCTCGGGATTCAATATGGTGACAACGTACCAATAGTTAACTGTACTCTAACCAACTAGATATGGAAACCATTTTAAAATATATTATTATAGGTATATATCCAAACTTTAAATCAATTTAATGAATGCACAATGAATTTCGAAGATTCTAAATACAAATACTCTGCATACTTACATTTCAATAAAACACTTTAACGGTTTAAAACGCGCAATATATTGGTTAAAATTATTTTAACTACGGTCTGACTTTTTATGCTTTGCAGCAGGCGTGGTCACGGGGAGACTAAAGATGGAGGGTCGCTAATGTCAAAGTGAAAACTGCTAGCGCCATCTGTTTCATCGCAGTTGGTAGCGTTTTAAGCCGTTAAAGTGTTTTATTTAACTTCTTTTTCTACTCACGTAAACTACAGATAGTATTTACTTACAATTTTCATATAATTGATGAGACTGTATCCGTGAGGCCACGTGTCCTCCGCCTCGCAAGATAATGGTCGAACATCGATTTGTTGGGATGTATCAAGGTCGTGTAGTGCCTTCGCGAATAAATGGACAGCGTCGTACATGAGAGCTGTCTCGGTCTACGATACGAAGAATTCGTTGTTAAGGAAAGTAGAATAAAGGTTTTAAGAATTTACAAGAAAACAATATTGTTTTAGTAATAATAAAGGTAATTGGAGAAAAGGATGTATAGATAAAAGATATAGTTCCGTTTACATTGGACATTTAAGTTGACAGTTTCTAGATTGGCTTTTCAATTATTTGAAGCCAATTCAAACTCCAATACTTTATTTATTTTTAGTAATGCTATTAATAAGTTATTTTAAACTCTAACTTACATAATGTTAAAACGTAACTAATGAAGTTTTGAACAGAAACAGACGATTGTTAATTACATTTAATATCTATTGGGCGATACTTGCTTTAGCTAAAGTAGAGTTAATGAAGAGATTAGTTCAAATAACTGTGAGAGTTTTCTTTGCCCGAGTCCATTTCTCATTGTAAAATCTGTAAATGAAAATTTCCACTTACCTTAATAAAAGTCATGTTTTCCTGCGAACAGACAATGCAATTAAATTCAACTCCCGCGACGCATATAAATCGGAACAAATATTGCAATTTGAAACAGAATTACCTTAGCTGAAGTGTGTCCCAGTTGTAATTTTCTTCCCTTTCTCGCTTCGTCATAAACCCAATCTCGGACTACTCTTTGCACTTCAGCTCTTTCAGGATCAAGTAATCTTAGTGCCGTGATATTTGTGCCGCCATATTTAAATTCTTCCAAGTCTACGCTATGAAGGTCCTATAGAACAAATAATTTTGAGAAATACTAATCTTCGACATAAGCATAGACAGATTAATTTATTTATTGTACACATCAGTAAAATAATGATATAGGCAAGTGAATTGAGGCTGCTAGAGACGTAGTGGCCTATTAAAGTGCGCAATTAACTTAGGTGAAAATGAATTTGTACTATTGTTTGTGCAAGAATCATTTTTGAAAACTTTATTATTTTTTACATGCACATAAAGGCGCTATTTAATTTAAAAATCGAAAATAAACTGAAAATTTTTTTCGACTCGGGCAAGACTTGAACCGGCATCGTCAGCGGTCGCTGACGGATGCTGACGATGCCGGTTCAAGTCCTGCCCGAGTCGAAAAAATTTTCAGTTTATTTTCGATTTTTAAAAGAATCATCTTAACAACTTTTGATCACTGTGCTCTTGTAGATAAACAACTGTCAAAAAATATGAATTATTCAAGTCATAAAATTGCAGTTAGGCCACTCTGCCTCTAGCCTCAATTGTCGTCGTTATCGCTAAAGCTACTGTGTGTTCAGGGATTTCAACTTTAGCCCCTTTATTTAGTACCTACACTTAAATACGTTCCAAACTTATACATCGATCGGTCAATGATAACATTGTTATTGAATTTTTCCTGTCAATCATTGTTCAGTACTAATTAATTTAAATTTATGGCGTTCAACTTAATTCATTGAGGAACTGTTTCCTAGAAAGCCGCGTCCCCACATCGAATGAAACGGAATCATTTCGATGCCCTACTGAAATGGTGAGACTTAATTAATATCCCCTCAAGTTTGGCTGAATTATTTAAATTGGCACAGCCAACGTTATTATTGATTAGCCGGAATTACTTTGAATGAAGTGTTTTTCAAATGTTTGATTGTGAAATGAAATTAAAACATTTGTTCGTTCTCTTTTATGTTATGTTTTGAAATGTATTTTAATTTAATAATTATACTTGCAAATATAATTCGTTTGTACTGTCCTGGTAGCACAATCACACTGATTAAAGGGCAAATTGCTTAAACAAGAGATATATAAAATAAGTGAGAATAGTGTCAACGTACGTATAACTTTATCAAATGTTCATTTTTGTAATTTAAAATTCTAGTCTAACCATTTGTAGGCGGCAATACACCAATAATAAAATGTATCTACATTTTAAGTTCTCTATGAAATAAATAGAAATTTATTCAAACATTAAGAGTAGAAATCTAGAGACAACTTACTAAGGAGGTTATAAGATAGCTATGGTAATCCGACATCATTCCAATCTGTTGCGCTTGTTGCAAAACATCCCTTATTCTATCCGTGGCGCAGTCGAGAACTATGTGGGATTCAGCTGAATTCTTAATTTGCTTTAATAGCGGCCTAAAAGTTGTATTAAATAATTAATTAAGGTTATTTTCGTAGTCGTGAACATCAGATAAATGTGGCCGTCAGGTAATAGATTTCTTAATCAAAATTGTCTTACTCAAAATATAAATAATGCAACTCTTAATGTATATCTAGTTATGCATAACATATTATACGTTGGTGACGGCTGCTAAATTTAGGAAAACACAATTGTATTACAAAGTTCTGTTTTGTTATTACTATGAATAACTGATAAATTTCGGCCGAAGTTAAAAATCATGTCCAAATAAGTTTAACTAATATATCGCGTTTTAAACCGTTAAAGTGTTGGTGTACTACTCGCGTAAACTATAGACAGTATTTAACTGTCAACTTGATTTGTAGTTTTTACAGATGCAATCTTAGAATCTTATAAACAATAAAATTATGTAACTATGATTAGAGGTGGATACACCTTTAATATTCAGTAAAGCTTACGTCGATTTATTAAACGTAAAGTCTTAACAACCATGACCTTAAACTTGCGCACTTAAGCGTACTTGAGAGAGAGATTAAGGCAATATTTGGAGGTTACTCATTTTAATTACAAATAATACGCCTAATATATCTCAAGAGGCTAAGTAAAGCATTTGTTATATAAATTAGGTTACGATTTAACAGTAATACTAGCTGTTTCTGAGAATTGTAAAATTACTTACGTAGAAAAAGAATTGAGCTACATTCAACGTTATTTTTTATATGTATAATAAGTATTTCTGTTTAAAAAATAATATAAAAGACATAATATGAGTAAAAAAGACAAGTTGCAGCTATTATGTTTTCCACTACTTTACAATTTATGAATAAATTGCGAATACAACGACATTTATAACTAAATAGTCCTAAATATTGGTAATACTGTACTTAAGTAACTTTAATATTTGAAATTCAACAGCTAAATTTCACCTAAAACGATAGACACCATACAAAAATACATCGTTTTACTATTATTATATTAATTACAGATTTGGAAATCGTGGACAACTTTATTTTTAATTTTAGTTTGCCTGGAGAGACCTCCTGTTAGCGATGAGGCCGCCCATTACCGCCATTTTAGTAAAAAGTATCGTTTGTATTATTATTTTATTTTTATAGTGCAATAATTGTTTTCAACTAAATAAGTGAAACAACATCAGTGCCGCAAAGCCGAAGAACAATAGAATTAACAATGTCCTTCCTATTCCGCCCACAAACACAATTGGGCAAGTTACCTGTAGTCGTGTGAGTCCGGCAGTTGTCTGACCGCAACAGGCAATTCCGATGGCCCATGGGCTTTTAATAACTCTTGAAGTCGGACCAGGCCATCACTGTTCTCGTATACTATGGTAAACGACTTCCACCCCCAGGCCCTGACGAGGTCTACGTAGGCCTACAACCAATTTAATATCTGTGTTTAAATGTGACACCTAAAATGGGAATGGTTAAGCTTCTAAAGACGATAAATTAGGATCCTAATTTTAAGTAAGATGCAAAAACCACATATACTAACAATGAAATTTGTTTTTAAAGTCAAATGAGATTAATGATAGTTTCGTAGCTTATAAAAAAGTAGGTTAGAATTAACACCGTTATTTTTATTTTTTATACCTATATTAAGTGATATACGACATGTGTGTAACAATCTTAAAACAAGCCTTCAAATTATTTACATTGAAATATAAATAATTAAAGAGTACTTTTGTTTCAGTGTCCGTTTGATAAGTGTACAGTTGTATACAATCAGCTACGTTCACGCCGAGAACATAGCCCGTTTTTTTAAATAAACCCGTAACAGATTTTTTATACTAACCATGATAAAATTCATACACTGGCCAATGAGACGAAATTGTTCAAATATGACCTGTGTATTTTATTGACAATGTTTGTATTATCTCCTAAACAAATAGCAAATTTGACATCCCTTCTGTATCAATATGGCAATATTTCGTTAACAGTGTACACATTATTATTAGCCATGTAAACTATTGGTTTTTTAAATAATTGTTTTATTAATAACTATTTAAATGTATTATACGTGTATTAACTCAATAAAGAAAGTATTTTTTTTTTTTTGAGGAAACATCTTACCTATATTGTTTTTTTATTAGCTTTTATTTACTTTTTTCTGTTGTCTGTCTGTTGTAGTTGTTAAAATGCATAAAAGGGATTTTGGATTTTATGTCATAAAGTGAAATTTCACAGAACTGAAGTACCAGGATAACATAAATTGGATGAATGTCACTCACTCTGCTAAGTGCAGCTGGGTGTGGATATAAGTTAACTAGACAGGACTCCCGCCTCGTTCGATAGTCCCATCTGGTTTCCAAGTGGGGTAGTTCCATTGTATCACATATAGATTGGACGTGCGCCGCGGCGGGCGCCGATTGTGGCCCGAAGATAGCTGCCACTCCGCTCCGAAGTAGGTGACACACTGTACGATATGATTTATGCAGCATTTCCATGTTTGTTAACATTTTCAAAGAACTCAGTACGTCAGAATTAATAGATAAACAATAAACTTTTGTACTGAGTGATGAGCAATATTCTTAATAACAAGTTAGGTAGAAAAAGCCAGATATAAAAAAACTCATAGACTTAGCTAAAAAAAAAACAAAATTTCAAATAAAGAAAACAAATAACGACGAGTGACAACTCCGATCTTCACATATAAATCACTTGACCCTTTGGAAATCGAACCATTCCGTTCGTTCCGCTAGCTATTAGCTGTATATTAATCACCATTCCACCAAAAAGCTCGTCAGAGTATTGGTAGTTAGGTCTGTATCAATTTTAGTGTCCAAAATAGGTCCGAGGTCGCCAAAACTTTTTCAGCGCAAGGCCTCCATAGCATCAACTATGAAGTTAAATTATTATTTTGGTTTCTTATTTGACCTGATAAAATTCTCGCTTTACATTGCTTACTCGGTATTACTATACTATCTGTGTCAAATGATTCACATCAGCGAACCCACGTGCATATTCTTGTATACTATAAAAGATCAACAGTCATTCGTACTGCATTCAGAGTTCATTAACCTAAAAAACTATTCAGTATAAACTTCGTTTACAAAGAATATTTTTTCTGTTTTGAATAAAATACTCGCTGGAGTCAAATTGTTTGTTCAAGAGAATAAAGACGGTTTTTGGTACCATTGTATTCATGTATGAATAAGATTCAGAACGCTACGGTTATGGTTAGTTAAAGTCGAATTTTAGGACAACATTTTAAGCTTAACTGTCTACAAGGTTAGGATGTGGGGCATAGGGCAGATATATTAGTGTGTCCGTTAAGAGTAAGTTACGGACGAGCTTGTACTGCTCTTTGTCTTCCGCGATCGGGAGGTTTTTCTTAAGATTACTTCCATTCAAAATCTGAACAAGATGTGCTGTGCTATTTTTGGATTTGAATATTCGGAAATCCAGTCTGTTGATTTAGACACTTTAGGACTTTTTCATCTGTAAAAATTGGTTCGAGAACCGAACAGAATTTCGATAGTCCTACCACCGATTTAATATACAGATTTTCAGACGAAGTCCAGCGGGCATGTTGGACCCGGTGGAAATCCAACCCATGTCTCACATCTAATAAACTCATGTCAAATTAATAAACGTAAACTTACTGAAAGAATACAATAAATCTTATCTAAATGCTAAACAGAACCCTTAGGTTACTCCGAAACCCAGACTAGATTGAAGCCATTACAGAAACAAAAAGAAAATTGAGCGCAGACAGTCTGCCACATTTTTACATACGAACCTCTTTTAGAAGCGTGGAAACTATCTTGAGGCGATATTGTTTCTACCTGAGCCAGTAATTTCGCTCGTGGCAACACCGCTCGGTCGGCGTTAACCCTCTCCACTGCGTATCGGAACGCAACCTCTTGTTTATCATCCTCGGGGTGAAATAGACCGCCTGTTACAAATGACACTTGAAATTATGTATCGTTTGTTTGCAGTAATAATACCCACAAAATACAATAGTATTCAAAAAGTAAAGGGTCAAAAATCATTTAAATATGTAGGCAACTGTGGTATACTTTTAAATGTCACACCAGTTAAAGACCTAAAGAATCTAAATTTACATTAATTGCCAGTTCTCAAATCAAGGGCGTAAACTGGCAAGAAACTCTGTATTACTGTTCTGTTACTTCCAACAATTAATTGTAATTAACACGACAACATATCGTTTTCATCAGCTACACTATTGGTAAGATATTTAAGGATATTAGTAAATTTATAAGATTTGTTTGATTTTGAAACAGTGATATTCTAAACTAAACATAATTGATGATTGTAATCTAAATGTCGCCTTTCTTATCATAACACTTCGAGAAATGGTCTCTTGGCGTGTCCACCGACTTGTACGTCTGTCGCCCGAGTCTCAACCTGTCACCATTTGTTTTGGTCCGGCGGGGTGAGTTAAAGAATCGATCTGCTAAGCTCAACACTTCAATTGTATTAACACTAAGTGCAAATTTTAATTAAGTTCAGGTCAATGACCCCGTGAAGCAGAATGAATAAAAATAATCGCGCACAATAAGAACAGCGAGGGCAGTATAGCGTAACCACATTACAACGGGATCGCTACGAGTTGAAACTTTTAAAATTTCGTTCCATTTGTGAGAATGTTTGTGAAAAGGCGATGCCATTTGAAGTGAAATGTTTACGTAATCATATTTTATACGGATAAATTTAAAATTATAATATCAGTTGTAATTAATCGCTTGTGATGATTGTGGATAATATTAATTCATCATTCAGTCTGTTTAATATGTTTATCCAGGCATTAAATGGATCTCTTCATGCTTATTGACAAACGCAACTTTTCGTTTATATTTCGATTTTAATTTCATATTTCATTTTTGGAACACACTAGGTATATCAGCGACTTCGTCGGCGAGATTTTGAGCATCCAATTTCGTTTTTGTAAACCCCTTCATCTTTATAAACTCAAGCTGTGACCCACGACGTCGGTCGCGTCCCGCGAAACGGAAGAGTACTTTCTGAGATTAGCGCGTTCAAAAAAAACAACCAGATTCGTAAAAAGTATAGATTACTAGTTTAAGATTGTAAGTTTATTTTTGCAATACAATCATATTAAACACATAAAGTATTTATTAATTATATTATTAGTTCTATTGTATCTCTTCAATATTGTAGAATACTTGGTTAAGTTATACGATTAAAAGCAATTAAATATGTTTCATGTCTGCCTTTTTAATAGTTGACTTTCTTACCAATGCGTATAGTGTCGGGTAAGGCGGAGAGATGGCCGAAAAACAAAATGAGAAAAACCGCCTTCGCTCCTCTCATTCTGAAACAAAGAAAACAAAACTTTAACAATATACCAACTTTTTACTCGGTAGGGTAAGAGTATTAGAAGGCATTATTGGATGGCCCTTGAAATTTACAAACACCCTTGCCTAATGTATTTAATTAAAAAAGGAAAGGCTAAATATAGAAACAATAATCCGAGTGAAATTACTACATATAACGGGTCAAAACTAATTGAGGTATCATGATACATTCGAGTAACTAAGTTGTACAGTTTTATGACTAAGATCGAAACCAATGTAATATATTTGTTATGTATGATAATTATGAATTATTAATCCGTCCCTACTTGTTGCTAATAATACACATAGCTGTACGTATTGTGTTAACGGTTAAGTCAAATATATTTGATACAATATCGTCTAAAACCTAAATAAACGGATTTTTAGGCTGATATAGAATATGTCTCAGTTCTAGGATAATAATTAGTTTCAGCCGTTCGGAGTCCACTGCTGGACATAGGCCTCCCCCATAGACTTCCAGTACGACCAGTCGTACGCTAGTTGAATCCAGCGTTTCCCTGCTACCTTGACCAGGTCGTCGTTGCACCTGGTAGGAGGTCGTCCATGTTTTCGACGTCCAGTACGTGATCTCCACTCTAGAACCTTTTCGCCCCAACGGCCGACAGTTCTACGAGCGATGTGCCCAGCCTACCATTTCAGCTTGCTAATTCGTTGGGCTATTTCAGTGACTTAAGGATAATAAATATACCATAAGTACTCTATTTCGCATTGTATAAAATGTAACAATAATCACTAATAACCTTAACTCAATTAAGTTGGACTATAGCATCACGTAGGCCTATATACATTATAAAATTAAAAAAATAATAATATCACATGTGTATGTCATAAACGAAACGTACGATGATCAGGCGAAAGCTTTATATATATAGTACATTAAACATAATGCGTTTATTTATTTGTTTAAAGTTCTATTTACCTATTAAAAGTTGTAAGGAAAGTGTTAAAAGCGATTGTTCCTGTGACAAAAGGACTCAATAGAAAATTAAAAGCCCCTTTTAAGGCTTATTGTAAGACGTTAAACTGAGTTTTCTTTAAAGCACAGTTTTACTCTTTTCATTGGGATAGTAAACTCGTGTTCGGGATTTAGTTCGAGTGTATGTAACTAAGTATTTAGGAATGGATATTCGAATATCGTACATACCGACAGATTGTTGTGAAAAATAACCCTTTAAGCATGGGCTTTAAGTGTTTATTTTTCATACAACAACATACCTAAAATATATAAGCTGTGTGAAGATTTTTAAGATATCAAGTGAATGTTTTTTGTACTGGTAAACAGCTTGACTAAAAGAGAAATCAACATTATGTTACATGTCGACACGTCTTGTTTAAAAACTTAAATATAATTTACATGTAATTGCACATGATGGCACTATATAAATTAAAAATCGAATTCGTTAGAGCAGCAGCACGTAACGCTGCGGATGCCGGTTGAAGTCCTGCCCGAGACGTTTTGTCTACTAATATGGGACTTCACTTTATATAAATTACAAATTACATTTATACTCTTTTTCTTTAAACTTTATGGTATATAATAGATACTCGCCATACAAAAAGAAAATTTTACGTTAAAAAATAATAACTCCGAAACGCGTTTCTAGAAATAACCACAAGAGTGCTCTTCGTAATAAGGAACCTTTTTATAAGTCACGTTCTGTTGTAAGCGACCGAGGAATAACGAATTGTACCTTTCAGATTTCACACTTAACAGTACGTTGACCTTTCATGATCGGCGCTACGTAAATCAATCAGACTTCAATGTAACTTTGTTATACAAAATATTAAGAAAAGATCAAACGCTATATTGTATTTGACTAGCTTTTATCTGCGGGTTTGTTTGTCACACCTAACAATAGTAACTCTTATTAAAAAATCTATATTTCCATTCGCCTTTTTGTTGTACCCGTATCTCAAAAATTTTGTGGTTTAGCTGCTTACTAATAACATAAAAGAAAGACAAACAAACATACTCTCGTATTTACAAGAGCAATGCTATTATTGTGGATCTTAAATTACTAATTGTTATGATTTGTATCATATCACCATAAAAAATAAAACCAAGGGTAGGCATTAAGCCAGCCTTCGTAGGTAATCGCCGCACGTTGTCGAACAGTGACACCAAACTAAATACACAATATATCTAAACTAAATCCACGTACATACCTGTTCAATTAATCAGTTGTAACTTCATAATTACTCCAATTACACAGCGTTCATGTTGAAAACACTTCACAAACACCAATCACAGGAAAACATTCATTGCAATTAGAACAGGTCCGTCCCGATAATCAGGGGGTTGATTACAGTGTCCTTCGATATAAGATTAACTGGATTTAATTAAATAACGGAATGGATATCGATTATTATCGAATCGCGAATGGATTTGGGGTGTAAATAGGCCGAAAGGGACGGCCGCCCGCGGTGTTGGCGTCGAACGGCTGGCGGGGTTCTGGCGTGGAAGCCTTACTGAGCATGCGCGCTGACTCTCCCGGTTACAATTCTGACTGCTGCGAGACCGAATTCTGGGTTTATTAAATTACTTCACGGCGAAATATTTTAATGACTCCCTTTAAATGTTAAGAATTCGCCAAGTGAGAGACGGTGTTTATGTCGATTATTCGCAAAATGCCACTCTTCGTGTGCTAAGGCGTGTGTTATTTCGCTCATCTTCTATTTATTAATGGTGAAAAGACGTGTCATTGTGCACAGTAAAAACATTGTTCGTATTACATTACACGCGTAGATTACACTTTTCTTCCATCAATGATATTGTTCAATATTACTATTGATCGACAAATATTAAAAATAATTAAATAATTAATTTTTATTTCTATAATTTAAAAAATGTAAATAAAAAATCTATTTAGATTGAAATATTATAATGATACGTGCGGGATTCGATGGATGTCGGTTCAAATCCCGCTCTTGACATATTTTTTTTTAATCTAAATATATTTTTTATCTATATACTTCCATTATGTGAAAGTGTTTGGTTATAAATGTGAAAATACACAAAACAAAGTAACTGTCTTTACAATAATCTACTGTAAACACAAAACGACTATAATGTAAATATCCATGTACGAACAGAATGTAATACCTCCTTCCCATACCCCAATAGGTCCCAAAGGCTTTGAAACTTTGCCCCGTATTTGATGTTACGCACATTCTAGTAAAACATAATAATTTTATCAGTCATAAAAGTAATGATGTATGGTATAGATAGAAGTTTGTGAATAGTAATAGACATAATTATTAATACTAAGGGAAGTATATTTTAATATAGAAATGGTATTTTGACACTATAATAATAATATTGTCACTAATATAATAATAAATAAACACTATGATATTGTTACTAATTAATCTATACTAATGTTATAAAGATGGAAAAATTGTTTCTTTGTTTGAACGCGCTAATCTCAGGAACTGCTGGTTCGAATTGTTTTTTTTTGTTGATTAGAATATTTATCGAGGAACGCTGTAGACTAAACATCAGGTTGCGACCGATAGGAGCGAAGAAGCAGTGCGAAATGTGGAAAGAACAGGGAAAAATCTTTAGGTTTTCCATTGCGTGCGATGCAAATAGCGTTAATGATACCCAAAAATATGTACTAAATAAAAATACCCCATATGCCAAAAGAATGTTTGTCCATTCATCTAGCAAACGAATACAACGTGAAGTATAGGACGACATGAAAAATACAATAATAAAATACTGAAAGTTTACGCGATTAGTACACATTTAAATAAAACGCTTTAACGGTTTAAAACGCGATATATTAGTTATACTATATACATATATTAGTTAATATATCGCGTTTTAAATCGTTAAAGTGTTTTATTTAAATAAAATAATAATTATAGTTTTATTGGCATCAATTTTTAATAAAACATTCAGTAAAGGCGAAGTTACGTTTGAGTTTGATGCTACGGGTTGAGTCATCTGGAGGAGATATCTCAATTCTCAAGAATATACTTTAAAAGGATTTTGTATGGATCCGTGAGAGCTCTAAGTTGCGACATGTTGAGTAGCAATCTCTGGCTGGCGTTTATCCAACTGATAAAAGACAGACGAACTTCGTTCTGAAGTTATTAATTTTTCTCTCCCTGTACAATAGTAGAAGGGAAACGTTTAAAATATCATTAAAAAGTGACTTCGAAAGGAGTTCCAAATACTGTCTATAGTTTACGCGAGTAGTACACATTTAAATAAAACACTTAGACGGTTTAAAATGCGATATATTAGTTAAACTTATTTGAAATGTTTTTTAACTTCGGCCCGACGTTGCAAAGCATCCGGAACGTCGGGCCAAAGTTAAAAATCATTTTCAAATAAATTTAACTAATATATCGCGTTTTAAACCGTTAAAGTGTTTTATGTAAAAGGCGTTCCAAAATCAAAAATATTTTTCTTTAATAACTTACTTTTTGAAAAAAAATTTATGGATCCGTTCATAATCATTGTTTTGAGGGTGCGTCTCGAAATAACTACCGTGGCATTTTTCTACCAATTGAGCAACCGTCCTTTACTAATTTAAATTTCTTATGATCAAAACTCCTAGATTTCCATTTCTTTCACAATTTTTCGATTTAAAATTTAAATTGATATGTAAAAAAGCTGTCACGTAATAGAGTTTTAAAGTATGCATTATTTTTTATTATTGTCTAATGACGACAGCAGCAAGAAGAAAGCTATTGTGGCTAAGATTTCCATTCAGACAAATAGAAAACATTTTATAAGCAAGACAAATTCGAGAGTATTACAAGACAAAACAATTCCAAGTTTCTCTATCTACAACAATTATCGTCCGGCCTATCGTGCTTGCGGGACTGCTTCGTTGAGACCTCGAATTTGAAATAACTGCTTATTCAATGATAATCGTGAACTCGGAGAAAGGCTAAATCGTAAACAATATGAATGTCGAAAACAAACTCTCATTTCTTAGGCCG